ATAAGTATTACTTAACTTGGTTTTATCATGAAATGTCTTATTCACCTATGGTGATTAAAACTTTTGCTGAGCATAGTAGTCTGGGCTGGCATCTGTGGTCTATTAGCATTTGTAGAACATCTGTCCAAATCCCTCTGGCTTTTAAAGTCTCCATTGAGAAGTCATGTGTTATTCTAATAGGTCCACCTTTATATGTTGATCTTTTTCCCTTTCAGCTTTTAATATTCTTTCTTTATTCTGTACATTTAGTATTTTGATTATTATGTGCTGAGGGGACTTTTATGTGCTGCCTGGTCTATTTGGTGTTCTGTTTGCTTCTTGTACCTTGATAGGCGTAAGGAAGTTTTCTTCTATGATTTTGTTGAAAATATTTCCTGTGCCCATGACCTGCGTTTCTTCTCCTTCCTCTATTCCTACTCTTTTTAGATTTGTTCATAGTGTCCCAGACTTCCTGGATGTTTTGTGGCATGATTTTTTTTTAATTTAACACTTTCTTAGACCTAGGTATTCATTTATTCTATTACATCTTCAATGCCTGAGATTCTCTCTTCCATCTCTTGTATTATGTTGGTGATGGATGCATGCATGGGAAGTTCCTATTCAAGTTCCTAAATTTTTCATTTGCAGATTTCCCTCAGTTTGGGTTTTCTTTATTGATTGCATTTCCACTTTCAGGTCTTGAACTGTTTTATTCATCTCTTTCCACTGTTTGTGTTTTTATAGATTTCTTTAAGGGGACTTTTCATTCCCTCTTTAAGGGCTTCTATCATACTCATAAAGGCTGTTTTAAGGCCTTTTTCTTGTGCTTCAGCTCTGTCGCAATACTTAGGGCCTGCTGTGGTAAGGTTGCTGGACTTTGTGGAGGCACATTGTCCTGGCTGTTGTTGATTATGTCTTTGTGCTGGCATCTAGGCATCTGCTTTGGGAAGATTGTGATTCTAGGTGCTGATATCTGGTCTTGTCTTTGCTGGGTACCCACGTTCCTTAGTTCTGTTGCCCTCTCTGTTCTTAGGAAAGTGTGGTGCTGTGTGATGCCTGGTAGGACATTCTTCTGGGATCCTGATTGGTGTGTCCTCTAGGGTTTCAAGTAAAATGTGTTTCTAGGTTGGGAGTTGACAGGTAAGAATGGGGATGGGCTATGAGGGGAGCACCCAGGGGGTCCACAGGAGGGAGGAAAGCAGGGTGTTCCACCAGGATCTGCTTAGTCCCCTGGAATGGGGGCAGAGAGTGAGGAGAGGTCACAGCAGGCAGTCTGCTACAGAGCTGGGGATAAGACTGGGGGATTGGATTTGGAGGAGAGGAGGGAGAGTGAAGATCTGTAGTTAGCCTCCCTGCTTCGCTGGCCAGAATGGCTGCTGGAATGGGGGGGGGAGGGCAAGGATAAAGCAAGGAGGGGGGGAAGTTTGGAGGGAAGATCTGTATTGGTGAAATTATTAAGGCCACTCCACGTAGTTAAAAGGGAGGTTTATTTTGTGGGGTAACTTATAAGTGAAGGGATAGGTTGCAGGGTCTGGGAAAGGTGTAGCGCAGTCTGGCGGTGTTCTCTGGAGAACTCTGTAGGGTCTACCTTCAGCGTCCTGGGTCCAGGAACCAAGAGAGCCGGCCCATCCGGATCTTGGGTCTTCAGGGTCCTCTCTCGGCCCCACCTTGCAGGCGTGACAGTTACCGAAGCCTCAGTGGGGGTTGGAACTTCCAGATCAAAGCTGGAATGGCTACCCACTACAGATCTGTGCCATGGACTGGGACTAGAGATGGGGGAGAGAGGAAGGGAAAGCTACAGAGCTCGGGATGAGAGCTAGGCGGCTGAGGGAGAGCTGAAGATCTGTAGCTAGCTTATCTGCTTCTCTGGCTGCAGTTGCTGTAGGGTACCAGCCTACAAGAGTCTCAAGAGTCATTGATTTAAACATAAGCTTTAGTGAGCAGTCGACAATAAGGAAAAGATGGGAAAAAAATCTGTTTTGTTTTTTCCCTAATAATGGTCCACTTTAGCGTCTTAAGACTGGTGCATCTATATCCTAAATAGTGTACTTACCTGAAACGTTTACAGATAGCTTCATTAAGAATACTTTACTGTTAGATTTTCTAATCACCTTCCTCTCATCCTGCTGATGTGACTGGTACCCATAAGAAGATATGCAGTTATTATTCAGGATTCTTCACTGGGACTCAGAGTCCACATGCCTTTCCCAGTTCCCACTAAGAAGTGCTCTGACCATAAAGTCTTTGCTTCTGCTCCTCTTTTGCATGTTAAACTCTACATAAGTAGAGGGCGTTTCAAACTAAGGTGCCAATGATAATGTTCACATCTACATACATTGTCAACCCACTGTATCCATGGGAGGGCTGGTTCCAGAACCATCCATGGGCCTTGTAATTGAAGGATGCTTTATCCTTCGAGTAAGATGGTGTATGCTTGATGAACACCCCTGCATGCATTAAAACATCTCTAGATTACTTACGGCAACTAATTCCATGTAGAGGCCATAGAGACATCTATCATACTGGATAGTTTAGGGAACGATGGCAAGAAGAATGGATGTATATTCTCAGCCCAGATGCTATAGGTTTTAGGGATATTTTCTCCCCACAGGTAGTTGAATCCTTGAATGAAATATTCAGAGGTACAGAGGAATCATTGTCATACTTTAATTCAACAAACATGCTGTTCATACCACTTTAAGAATTGTGAACCAGAGCACAAGAGTTCAGGAAAAACTATTATTTCAATATTTATGAAATTTGTGAATTTAATTTTGCAGGTACTATACGCTTGACTGAATATATTTTTGTGATGACTGAAAATTATTCAGACATGAGAGTGATACTCAGTTTGTCCTGTCTCCTTGTGTAATTGTCTTAGCTACTCTACATTTTGTGAGACTGACACTTGTCGCTATGGGAACACCCTCTCAGAAGAATCTTAGGATGGATAATAGAACATTGTGTTGCTCACATGTTGATTTATTAAATGATGTTCCATAAATATTGAGGCATATTTCAGTTTGCACTACATTTTTAATACATGATTTCATTTGATACATCGCTCTAATAGAGATTATCTGCAATGATCAGACAAAATAGAGACACAGAGCCTTTCCAAAGTCACACTAAGAGTAGATATTGACTTGAATGGATATTGATTCCACAATGACTTCCTTGCCTCAGTGGCCTGAGGATGTCTAAGTTCTTGAACAAAGAGAGACCCAAAATGCCCTTCTGCAAAATCCCAAAGGGCAGTCAAACCGGAGATGCTTAAGTAGCTTAAGTATTCCCCAGGTCAAATGACTGTTCCCAGCTACTGGATCCCAGTGGGAAAGGTCACTCCTGATTCTCGAAGATGTATTGGCACTAAACAATGTTTACACCTTACTTGCTTTGTACAACTAGCTCTCCAAGATACAAAAGGCAGAACCACTGTCACAGGACAGTTACTGTTCTGCCCTGCAGGAACTGAGAATAATCTACTGTCAAGGACGTGTGTCAGTCAGACAGTCCTACACAAAGCAATATGTGCGAAGGTGAGAGACAGAAGAGAAGGTCATGAACTGAGCAGGGGTTGAGGAAGTGACCTCTGAGAAGACACCAGAGAAGCCAGAAGGCATTTATCAATAGCCGTAAAGGGAGAGAGGAAACAGGACATGGCATATGCAAATACCAATAGGCTACTCTCTGTGTGTGTGTGTGTGTGTGTGTGTGTGTGTGTGTGTGTGTGTGTGTGTGCTGATTCCAAGGAACCAGGAAAAGTCCAATTTTGGTGAACTATAAAATCTAAGTTCCTTACAGCAACTCAGAGCCTGTTTGTCTGACAGTCTCATGTAGCCCAGGCTGGCCTTGAATTTACTATGTCGCTGAAGTCGATCACAAACTTCTGATTCTCCTGTTTCCACTGCCCAAGTGCTCAGATCATGGGCATGCATTACCCAGTTGATGTAGTGCTGGGGATGGAACCCTGGCTTTGTGCAAACAAGGCAAGCACTCTACAAACTGATCTACAACCCCAGCAAAGAGTAGAATCAAACCATTGATCTTCCAGTTAGCAGTGAACCTCAATATCCAGCTGAGCCACAGACACAGGCAACACGTATTTTCATTTGGACAACTCAGATGCAGGGGCCAGGCAGGGTGGAGCAAAGGTCTTAAACAGACCTCAGTTGTATAGAGGTTGAGAAAAACTGTTGAATGATGATGGATAAGGTAGTCTAAGGTAGGTAGGGGCAGGAGAAAAATGTGAAAACAAATGGATGAGATCTTCAGAATGTAAGTTCAGCAGACCCGATTCTTGACTGGTGGTAAAAGGAACAGAGAACAAAGAAATAATCCCAGAAAGGTGGGAGTAGCAAACTCTGGAGCTCAGAGAACCCACAGGGCTGACGCTCAGTCCCCTTAGCTGCTCCTCCTCCACCCCAATCAGAGTTTTTCTTCTTCAACACAAAAAGCACATGATGCTTTACACAGTTCTCTGTTGTTTTGTTTTGGGTGGTAAGGGTGGAACCCGGGGCAGCTGATGTGATATCTGAGTGCTTTCCCACAGAACACTATCCTCACTCTTCATACCTGACATTACTTTGACCACTGGATATAGATGACTTAAATTATACAGATAAAATTGTAACTAAGCCAACTTCAAGATACTGCTTTATTTTTTTTTGACAGCGAAGAATTAAAACGTAAGAAATACACAGATTATTAAAATATATAACATTCATCTATGCAACTTGTCGTGAAGGATTCATCTGTAGGTGCAGCCAAGGTTAGAAATGAAAAGGGAGAATTTCGTTTGGCACGAGCATCTTCATGGGAGCTGGCAGGAACTTCTGAATCTAAGACCTCTACCTAATACTGGAAGCCACTCTCTAGAACGCCAGCCTTGGGACTCCCCACCCCTCCTTGGTAATTATAGCCTTTAATTCACGCAACTAAAATTCATCCCTTGCTGCTCATACAATCAATCATCCTTAATCCCCCACCCCCCACCCCCTACCCTGGGCAGAAGTGTCAACTGTAGAGCCCAGTCACTTTTTAAAGGCCACGAGAGAATGGACCACTTTGTGAGATTCCTTTTGAAAACGGAGTATTAGAATATGTCATCCTCTTGGTTGTAATACATGTCTGACTCCACAATCCCCAAAGCTGCGCAGGTGTCGTTCCTAATCATCGGGGCCACATCACTTTCACTCTTCTTCCTTTTTAGTGGCTCTCCTTCCTGCACGTAGGACCTCTGCAAAGCAGGGGTGCTCACAGCTGGGAGACCTTTTGCAAACAGAGCCTCCACCCTTCCTGGTTCAGCTGCATCTGAAGAATTAGCGGTGGGCAGAAGTCGGTCACTCCGGAGCCGTTTTCTTACTTCTTCATTTTTTGTCTGAAAAGTAATACTAAAGAATGAAAAAGAGCCCTGGCGGTGTGATTTCCTTCACGTTCTCATTCATCCTGCTTGTCCCGATCACTTTCACTTTTTCTATAACTACTTAGTCTGGGAACAGATGATCGTTCGGGAACCATGTTGAAAGAGACAAACATAGGGCCTACCCTCACAGAGTTTATAGTCTAGTCCTTGCACCCAAGGCTACCAAAGGGAGGCAAAATGAAGGAGACTAGACCAACACTGTATCCCTAACAACAGGTTTTGGGTTGTGGGCTCTAGTGCTTAAAAGTGCAGGCAGGAGCTGATCTGACGGTCTTTAGAGCCCACTCTCAGCTCAGTACCCATCCCTACCCTGCTTGTCCTCCTCCCTCTCACTCCAGTGGAAATTTCCCCCAAACTTGACTTAATTCAGAGAACTGAATAGTATTCATTTAGGCCATGTAGCTGAAACAACCAATTTCAACTGAGTTCACGGTGCTGCTTCATTCCTGCACAATACAAAAGTAAGTTTTGAGGAAAAACCAGCAACAAAGTGTGCAGCACAAGAAGCACTCAGCTCACTGAGATGCAGTGGATCAGTGCACTCGTTTTGTCTCGAGGCTGCTGATTGGCAAGGTCCGGCAGCAGCTCATCTCAGCAGGCAGTCAGCCCCTCAGACTAGCGTCCACAGCTTAGCCCCTCAGACTAGCATTCATGGCTCAACCCCTCAGACTAACATCCACGGCTCAGCCCCTCAGACTAGCTAGCATCCACGGCTCAAACCCTCAGACTAACATCCAAGCTCAGCCCCTCAGACTAACATCCACAGCTCAGCCCCTCAGACTAGCATTCATGGCTCAACCCCTCAGACTAGCATCCGCAGCTCAGGCCCTCAGACTAGCACCCGCAGCTCAGGCCCTCAGACTAGCACCCGCAGCTCAGGCCCTCAGACTAGCACCCGCAGCTCAGGCCCTCAGACTGGCATCCGCAGCTCAGGCCCTCAGATTGGCATCCGCAGCTCAGGCCCTCAGACTGGCATCCGCAGCTCAGGCCCTCAGACTAGCATCCGCAGCTCAGGCCCTCAGACTAGCACCCACAGCTCAGGCCCTCAGACTAGCACCCGCAGCTCAGGCCCTCAGACTAGCATCCGCAGCTCAGGCCCTCAGACTAGCATCCACAGCTCAGACCCTCAGACTAGCACCCGCAGCTCAGGCCCTGAGACTAGCATCCACAGCTCAGGCCCTCAGACTAGCACCCGCAGCTCTAACCTTTCGGCGTTCTTCGGCCGCCTGCATCTTTTCTTCTATGTCTTGGATTGTGAAATCTTTTACCTCCTTTTTCACCTTAAGCTTTTTCAGTCTGGCCGGTGGCTTTCTCAGTGGCTTTTCAGTAGTGTCCACCTGGAGGAAGACATTTTGCTTTTAATGGAGAAGTGATTATTACCGTGGCCCAGGAGATGAACAGGCGAGAAGAACAGTTTAAAATGCAAATTTCAGAATCTAAACTTTCTAGTGGCAGATGAATGCAATAGAAACTTGAAATCTGTAAGAGCAGAATTGTATTTATAATTCTTATTATTTGCATGTGTGTGAAAGTCTAGCTCAATGTGACAAAATCAGAGTTTAACTTTAGTCGATTGACCTATAATCTTCAATGACAGCAACTGATTTCATAATATTCTGTGTGTAACCAATTATTTTCACTTGGACAGAGACTAGCTTTTATTACTTTTTGGTCTAATGATGGAGAGAGATTATTAATTGTTATTGAGCAACAACTCTATGCTAGACTTTGCTGCTGGTATTTGACAAATATTTTCCTGACAACAGTAAAAATGTCCCATTTTATATGAATGACCACTCTTTCAGCAGTTCAGAAAAGTGATAATGACTTTCTAGTTATGCATCTAGTTACAAAAAGTAAAATTACAGTAAAGGGCTACAAAGTTTTAACTTGTATTCTCTTCCAAAAATACAGTTTACAGTATGCATTTACAATGGACAATTAATATACAAACACCCTCCTAACCCTCTACTTAATCACTCCAACCATACCCCTCAGTAGGAACCTATCTTATAAATCTCTCTCTCTCTCTCTCTCTCTCTCTCTCTCTCTCTCTCTCTCTCTTTCTGTGTGTGTGTTTGTGTGTGTGTGTGCAGGTATGCCCATACTATGATACTCTGATGAAGGTCTGAGGGCAACCTCAGATGGCCAGCCTAGCTTTCACCTTAGACAGGGTCACTTATTCACTGTTGCATATGCAGGATAACTAGCCCAAGAGATTCAGGGGACCTGAAGTATATACACATGAGTGACCACATCCTCCTTTATGTTGGCCCTGGGGAGCTAAACTCAGGTCCCCAGGGATTGTTTTCCCTATGAAGCCATCTCCCCAGCCCCTTAGCAGGGACCTTTTTAAAGAGTTTGTGGACCTTTCCAGATATTCTCTGTAATGCATGTCCATATACATACATACATACATATACAGATGCAAGGCATCTGCAATACTAAATAAGATCTAAATATGATTGTGCCACACTCACTGCCCACGTTTACATCCTTTATTTAATATGGACATCTCTCTAGGTCAGCATACATAGATTTATTACGACTGCAGGAAGTTTTCAATAAACTCTAAGTCTTCACTATAAAATGAACCAATATACTGCTCTGAATAATCTCTCTAGAGATTTCTCTTTAAAAACAGGGAGCTATCAATATTCATTATAATTTCCCAAAGACCGACTCTTCAAAGTAAGGAAAATAAACCAGGGAGACAAGAACAGGCATTTAACAGAAGAGAAGGCCAACGACGGGACACAGACCTGCCCTCCGATCCCACAAGTGACTTTCCACGAGCTGCTCGCACACTCTGTGAGCCTGAGGTCCTCATCAGCAGCACAGCCTTAACGATCCTTATTTCACAGGATCCGGTTTTGTTCTTGTTTTCAAGGGAGAAGAAAGCCCGCGATGCCACTTGGGAAGGGCAACTGCTTTTCAGGAAACCGGGGCCTGCTTTCAGGGGCAACCCATTACATCACAATGGCCCACAGAATTGTCACAATGGCCTGTGCAGACAGGAGGGGTGCCAGGAGCAGATGAGACACTGGAAGAGGAAGTGATGAAGCAGTGTGCTCTCTTACTAACAACCCCTGTGTGTCTGAGGTGACATTCTTTTGGAATGCAGTTCTCTTAACTGATGACAGGAGAGAGGGTTGCTGTTTCTATCTTTGAGATCTAGGATCCTCAGAAAGTCCTTAAAGTTTTTTTCATTTTATTATGGGTGTTTTGTCTGCATGTATATTTGTGTGCCATGTGCATGTTGTGCCCTAAAAGACTAGAAGAGGGCACTGGGTCTCCTGGAATTAGAGTTACAAATGGCTATGGCTATGAACCATTAGTGCTAGCAATCAAACCCAGGACTTGTGGAAGAACAGCCAGTTCTCTCAACCAATGAACTATCCTTCCAGCCCCATCTCAGAAAGTCTTTAAAAAGGAAAACCCTCATTGAGATTGTTGCTCTTTATAACCACTGGATGTTTATGTAGTATGAGATTTTCTACTATGGGAACCGAGCTACTCATTAAAGCAAGTTCCCTCAGTCATTATTTATATCATTTTTATGACATTTGGTTCTTAAGCTTCCTTCTGGCAAAAGCCACTTGCTGGAAAGAGGGACATACTTGCTATGAAGGCTCAACTTGAGATACTTTGAAATTAATATGTAAACATTTTTAGGGATGTTCACTCACAGAAGGCTAAAAGAAAATGGCAATCCAAGAGCCAACGAGGGCCTGGCACACCAGACATCACAAAGCAGTCTGAACTACTGTGGGATGGTCCTTCTGTACGTTGCAAATATGTATTTCTCTCATTGGTTGACAATAAAGTTGTTTTGGTCTATGGCAAGACAGGATAAGGTTAGGTGGAAAAATCAAACTAGGACTGAGAGGAAGGGTGGAGGTGGGGGTGGGGAGGGGGTCAAGACAGACGCTGCAAGCTGCCCAAAAAGCAAGATGCCAGAGGACTGGTAAAGCCATGGCCACGTGGCAGTACGTAGATGAATAAAAATGGGTTAAATTAAATGTAAGAGCTAGTTAATAACAAGCCTGAGCCATCAGCCAAACATTTACAATTAATATAAGCCTCTCTGTGGTAATTTGGGAAGTGGTCTCCAGGTGTAATCAGGCATACTGGACCAAAGCTCTGCCTCCATTTACACTAAACCTTAACAGAAATCATGAAGCCAGTAAAGAGCTCTGAGAGCAGTTTGAGTTTTCTGATTGGGGAAGATGTTTCCCTTGACTTATCCCTAAATAATGCCTGTGGATTTACCTTATGTCACCCTTTGGAACGTGGACTCTTATCTCTGAGGCCCTTGTCCTTTCTTGAGTTTGAATGTTATGCTAAAACCACCACCATGATGATCTGGCTTTGGGTGCAGTTTGTAGAGAGCTTGCCTAGCCCGAATGAAGATCTGTTTTAATCTCCAGTACTGTGTAAACCAGGCAAGACCATCCTTGGCTACATAGTGAGTTCAAGGCCAGCCTGGGTGACATGAAACCTTGCTTTAAAACAGACAGACAGAAATCAAAATTCAAAGACCCCTATAAACAGATCTGTATTCTTTATAAATGAAGTTCAGGTAGGCAGAATCTATGAAATGGTGACCCTTACCAGTGATAACAATGCTCGCATTATACACAGAGATGTCTAGACCCCAAGCCTCAGAAGTCTAGCAAAGCTACCAGTTCAGTTGCTTTCTTTGGGAACAGTATCAGAGAACTGACAGTCCCGAGCACAACATTTGGGGCTAAGATTTGAGTTGGCGTTTTGGCCAAGCTGACACACACAGGCCTGTCTTATATCCAATGCATGTTCCTTAGAGCTTTCCTAATTATCTCTTCACCTACAAATGAGCCCACCTTGGTTATGCTCCCTGAGGGAGTCTTGTGCACAGAAGAGATCCAAGCTCCCTGCAGTCGATCTGGTCATTCCCGTTCTTTGGCCTCCAGGCCTTGGTGAGGGTGGTCACTCTGACCACTGACTGATATTTTTGAGTCCTAACTCACCCAGCTTCCTCCTTTTCCTCTCTATAAGGCTCAGCAAATAATATTGGAGACTCTGCTGCAATGTGGATTCCTTATCTACACCGAAGGTGACCCAATTCAGAAACAGAGATGACAATAAACTTGAACCAGACAGGAAGAATTAGTAAAGAATTCACCTAGTTTGTGGAAAGAAGCCAGGGTATGCTAAGAGATGCAGGGACGTGAGTTTGGGACTACAGCCCCCTGGAGGCAATAACACCCCTCTCCATATGTATGTAATTGTGTTTGTGCATGTGCACACATTTTGTACAGGTATGCATGCATATGTGTGTGTGCACATATGGAGGCCAGAGGTCGATGTCGAGTGCCTTCCTCTAGTGCTTTCAATCTTATTTTTTGAGACAGAGTGTGTTAGTGTTATTATTGCTGTGATGAAACACCGTAATGGAAGGCTACTTGGGGAGGAAAGGGTTTATTTATTCTGCTTACACTTCCACAGCACTGTTCATCATTGAAGGAAGTCAGGACAGGAACTCAATAAGGGCAGGAACCTGGAAACAGGAGCTGATGCAGAGGCCATGGAGGAGTGCTGATTACTGGCTTGCTCCTCATGTCTTGCTCAGCCTGCTTTCTTACAGAAACCAGGACCACCAGACTGGGGTTGGAGCCACCCACCATGGGCAGGGCCCTCTTCCATCAGCAACTAACTGAGAAAATGCCCTATAGCCTAATGTCATGGAGGCATTTTCTTAATTGAAGTCCCCTAACTTCAGATGACTTTAGCTTGTGTCAAGCTGACATAAAACTAGCTGGCACACATGGAGCTCACCAATTCTTCAAGTCCAGCTAATCAATCAGCTCCAGGGATCTGCCTATTTCTGTCTCCCAAGAACTGGGTTGCAGTCCTGAGCCACCGTGCCTGGCTTTTTACGTGGGTGCTGGGGATTTGAACACAGGTCTTCTTCATGCTTGCCCAGCAGGCACTCACCTGCTTAGGCATCTCCCCAACTCCTTCTTAATATTTATTTCATACCATTTTAACTCTTATGTAAGAACAGAATCTTCTATTATAACTTTTGCTCCAATGGGAATGAGGGCTAGTTTATTCTGAGCAAAATATGAATGGCCATGGCCTGGGCACATTCATTCAGGGTGCACTGAATGATGCATTGTCTCGTGAAAGTGCTTACATCATCTCTTATGGTAGCAGAACAAAGACAGTCAATGCATTTACCAAATGCACTGCCCAGCAAAGCAGGGAAATCCATGGTGCCGGTTTAGACGCTATCTCATGACACTCTTAGCTTCTGGACTGGTGGAGCCTAGATGTGTCAGACTTAGTGATGCCT